GACAGATCCACGCGGGGGGAGCTGGCGGCGTGCGTGCGTGCATGCGTGTGTGTGACGTGGCCCCACCACCCACGGTCCTGAGTACTGTGTTGCCTAGATACGGCAGGGTCAGGGGGAGCTCGAAGCAGCCTCGTCCCCTGGACGGCAGACCGGGGTTCTTGGGCCGCCCTGTCTCCGCTTCAGGCACTGCAAACGGCCGCCGTGACCCCTCCAGGGGACGGCGAGGCACGCGGCACTGGACCTCGCCTGCCGTTGGACACGGGCATCCGCAGGATGTCCTTGTGCACACGGCTCCCCAGGCAGACAGCTGAAGAGGAAGAGGGGAGGGACGGCTGCCCGCGCCTGCGGCTCTGACTGTGTGGGATGAAGACGTCACCTTCCCTGTCACGTTCTGTGATGCTCAACAGGTAGTTGCAAGTGTTTCACAGACTCAGACTTTATGCTCAAAACATCCGTTAAACATTCCTGCAGCCAAGCCTGGACCATAGGATGCCCCCAAAGAACTTTCTAGTAACTTATGGTTCTTCGTCCGATAGATGCTAGCAAGGACAGCAGACGCCGCCGGCACCGGCGAGCACAGCATGGCGTTTGGTTGCGGTTTTTGCAAGCGTAGGGCTTCCTCCTGCCTGATTGTTAATAAGCTGAGCCTGGTGACGAAGGGCTGCTTCTGTCCATGGCGAGCATGTCAAACGCGTGGCCCGCGGGCCGCACGCCTCGTCTATTTGGCCCGTGTTAGCTTTTGAGTTTGACATGCTTGGTCTGTGGGGTTGACTGGCTGGATCTGGTCACTGGTCACATCTGAACATAGTTACGGTCCCACAGGAAGTCCCGTCCGTCTGTCCGAACACAGAATCCCTGTGTGCGATTCCAGTGGAGGCGGCGAGGTGGGAACTGGCTTAGCTCCGGACGGCACGGGGGAGAGGGTGCAGGGGCTCGGGCGCTTTCTTGAGAATCACCCACTCCCAGCCTCAGGAAGGTGCGGAGGGCGGGCAGCCAGCGAGAGGGCGCTCCTGCCTGCTCCACAGAGCTCCTGGCCGCTGAGCTTAAGGCCACCTCTCAGCCCCGGTGGGGCCACACCTTACACCTCCTCTCAGAAACCCAGGTTCTCCCCAGGCATCCTGACCAGAAGCCAGATCCTCCCGCTACCCCAGGACTTCGAGGGGCAGCCTTTCAGCTGTGCCAGGGCCCGGAAGCCCCCCTTCTGGCCTGCAGGGGCCAGGTACCCCAGGACCTCTGGAGCCCTGACCACAGCCTGGCCAGCTGGGGACTGCGCTCCCACGAAGCCCCGGGCAGAAAGTCCCGTCCCATCCACAGTCCCACCAGGCGTGGCCATCCAGGTTCACTAAACTGCGAGGAGCCAGGAGAACTCGGTGACGGTGACAGGCCCACGGCGCCTCGCGCGGGACGTCCGCATAAATTAATAACTTACGAGGACCTGAGCCACAGGCCAGGCCCCCGGGGCCGCGTCCCCAGACCGCGGTTCTCGACCAAAAGTCCAGGGGTTGGTACAAGGGAAACTCCACCGGAGTTGAACGTAGTGCAGACTCTGTCTCCGCGGGAGGTGTCAGGCTTCTCACTTGGAGGGGGCGGTGTGGGTGGGCTGGGGCGCGGGGGGTGGGGGCTTGGGAGCCGGTCTGCGTGGAGAGAGGAGGAGGCAGAGTTATGTCGCTGTGAGTATAGTTTAATTTGTACCAGCGGCGGGGGGGGGGCATCCCTGGCCCCACCCCGGGAAGGACACACGCACAGTCCACCTCCTCTTCCTCCCGCAGGAGGAGGGGCTCACGTGCCGCCCCCCCCCACCCCCGAGGATTCGGCGTCTCCATACACACACCCACACGTGCACCATAAAAAGTCTGTAAACTTCTCCATAGTCTGATTTGGCCTTCACACAGGTACCAAGTGTAACAGCAATCACAGTGATTCCGTACCTGCTCGTGGGCAGTGACGCTGTCTGCCACGGCGCTGCGTTCTAGGGGACAGATCCACGCGGGGGGAGCTGGCGGCGTGCGTGCGTGCATGCGTGTGTGTGACGTGGCCCCACCACCCACGGTCCTGAGTACTGTGTTGCCTAGATACGGCAGGGTCAGGGGGAGCTCGAAGCAGCCTCGTCCCCTGGACGGCAGACCGGGGTTCTTGGGCCGCCCTGTCTCCGCTTCAGGCACTGCAAACGGCCGCCGTGACCCCTCCAGGGGACGGCGAGGCACGCGGCACTGGACCTCGCCTGCCGTTGGACACGGGCATCCGCAGGATGTCCTTGTGCACACGGCTCCCCAGGCAGACAGCTGAAGAGGAAGAGGGGAGGGACGGCTGCCCGCGCCTGCGGCTCTGACTGTGTGGGATGAAGACGTCACCTTCCCTGTCACGTTCTGTGATGCTCAACAGGTAGTTGCAAGTGTTTCACAGACTCAGACTTTATGCTCAAAACATCCGTTAAACATTCCTGCAGCCAAGCCTGGACCATAGGATGCCCCCAAAGAACTTTCTAGTAACTTATGGTTCTTCGTCCGATAGATGCTAGCAAGGACAGCAGACGCCGCCGGCACCGGCGAGCACAGCATGGCGTTTGGTTGCGGTTTTTGCAAGCGTAGGGCTTCCTCCTGCCTGACTGTTAATAAGCTGAGCCTTGTGACGAAGGGCTGCTTCTGTCCATGGCGAGCATGTCAAACGCGTGGCCCGCGGGCCGCACGCCTCGTCTATTTGGCCCGTGTTAGCTTTTGAGTTTGACATGCTTGGTCTGTGGGGTTGACTGGCTGGATCTGGTCACTGGTCACATCTGAACATAGTTACGGTCCCACAGGAAGTCCCGTCCGTCTGTCCGAACACAGAATCCCTGTGTGCGATTCCAGTGGAGGCGGCGAGGTGGGAACTGGCTTAGCTCCGGACGGCAGGGGGGAGAGGGTGCAGGGGCTCGGGCACTTTCTTGAGAATCACCCCTCTCCCAGCCTCAGGAAGGTGCGGAGGGCGGGCAGCCAGCGAGAGGGCGCTCCTGCCTGCTCCACAGAGCTCCTGGCCGCTGAGCTTAAGGCCACCTCTCAGCCCCGGTGGGGCCACACCTTACACCTCCTCTCAGAAACCCAGGTTCTCCCCAGGCATCCTGACCAGAAGCCAGATCCTCCCGCTACCCCAGGACTTCGAGGGGCAGCCTTTCAGCTGTGCCAGGGCCCGGAAGCCCCCCTTCTGGCCTGCAGGGGCCAGGTACCCCAGGACCTCTGGAGCCCTGACCACAGCCTGGCCAGCTGGGGACTGCACTCCCACGAAGCCCCGGGCAGAAAGTCCCGTCCCGTCCACAGTCCCACCAAGCGTGGCCGTCCAGGTTCACTAAACTGAGAGGAGCCAGGAGAACTCGGTGATGGTGATGGTGACAGGCCCACGGAGCCTCGCGCGGGACGTCCGCATAAATTAATAACTTACGAGGACCTGAGCCACAGCCCAGAGCACCGGGGCCGCGTCCCCAGACCGCGGTTCTCGACCAAAAGTCCAGGGGTTGGTACAAGGGAAACTCCACCGGAGTTGAACGTAGTGCAGACTCTGTCTCCGCGGGAGGTGTCAGGCTTCTCACTTGGAGGGGGCGGTGTGGGTGGGCTGGGGCGCGGGGGGTGGGGGCTTGGGAGCCGGTCTGCGTGGAGAGA